CCCCAAAACCCCAAAACCCCACTATAATTTTTTCACTTTAAAATTTGAATAATTAAAATTATAAATAATAATAAAATCAAATATCATTGATAATGGGAAATAATGAAAGTTCTAACAAGGAAGCTCTAGCCAAAGCTAGACTGTATCAGTAATAAAATTAGATCAATACATAAACAGGGAGGTAATATAATTTAAAACTAACTACAATCATTAGAATATATACGAATGAGCATCTTCCAATAGATGCAAGAATCCATTCCTCATCAAGTCCTTGGCAGGTTTACAATGACACTTAAAAGGAACAAGCTAGATTGAAAAATATACCTGAGAAAGAAATAAGTGGGATTAAAAATGAAGTTTATATTCATAAATCCACATTAAAACTGGTATAGAATTATAGAGTAATAATATTTAGGTTTCTCCAAATGGATCTCTAAACTCAGAAGGATCAAATCAGTCTTAGTAGTACTTGACATTTTTGTTTGACTCATTGAATTCTGGAGTAACTATTAATTTCTATCTGGGTTCTCATGAGAAAATGAATCAAGAAGGTTAGAAAATTTATGCAGAGTACATTCCTCTTAAAGGCACTGCTTTTGAAAGAATGCTTCCTATCTCAACTAAATTCCCAGCTGGTGTAAATCAGGTCTTTCAACCCTATCAAGTGATTATTGATCTGGACAACTACTTGATTGAAGGAAACGATTTCACAAAGGCATCTCTATCTTATTATCCTCTTGTGATCTAAATGGTAATGATAGTGGGTTAATTATTAGTAGATATTAGAGAGAAGTGAAGTTTACCAAACATTCTACTACATCTAGTTCAATTATCAAAGCAATAATTCTTCTTGGTAACCTGTGCTGATTAAACAAAAATTACTGATTGGAAGTCAAGTCTATGAACTCACAGAGGCATATGGATTGAATACATCTAGAACTGATGATCCTAATTCATTGGATTGCGTTGTATGTCTAGCTGATAGGAAGAATACTCTTTGTCTGCCTTGCAGGCATGTCAGTTTGTGTAATGCCTGTGCTTAAGTAATTTTTGGAGGGGATCGTAAATGCCCAGTCTGCAGATAAAGTAAATTATTGTTAGTTTATAATTTTAGAAATATATGATTTGGTTCCTTTCAAAGTAAATGAAGTTGCTTAGACATAAGGATAACAGTAATAATATTAGATTGGGATTTTATGAAATTAATGTGTTGAATATATGGCATGAATATCTTTAAAGTTAATAAATTATTACACTCTCATGTCAATATCACTAATTAGCTTTAATAATTGACTATATTTCTTCTATGTTTATACATTCATTCAGTCTTGAAGACAAAGTTTGGATCTAGATCATATTTCCTATTAAACTTATCGAACCATTTATCTAGAGTATTTAGAGGTACAACCAGCAACCCGTCAGCCTGTGCATTATCATTCTACATTCTCAATTATTTGAATCTTAAACTTACTCTGTTGAAACTCTACATGAAATTGAAAAGGTTGAGTGCAACCTTTTTTGCAAACTCCTTGTTCAGATCTGTATCCTGCTTAATTCTAACGCAAGTCTCTATTTTATCTACTGGTTCTATTTGGACTACTAACTTTAGTTCAGAGTGAATATTAACAGATGGGTTCAAGGACCATCCAGTGTGAAAAATGTCGCTTGGTCTTTGATCTGCAATGGCACCTATAAATTCAAGCCCTTCATATGGAGGCACACTAAAATACAGAGATGCTATAAAAAATTTTAATCATGAAGTAGAATGATTAATACCTGCAATCTAGTTATTTCCAAGAGGTTAATTTAGGAAGAATGAGATGACATTTATAGATTTAGGATTTTAGATCGTAATTACACTACAAATTATTATTCCTAATTTATGTGCTTACCCTTTGTCACCAAACTGTTCAAACTAATACTATACAACTGATCCAGGAATTACGAGTCCAAAAAGATTGGGTGGAAATACGAAATTCTCTGAGCTCTGCTAGTTTGTCTGTTATTACTGCTGGAAGGGATTAGTTGTTCCGTTTGAGTAATTCATTTTCACTTTAAATTTATTAAAATAGTGAACATTCTAGAATTAAATCAAATCTGAGTTAATGCTTCTCAAGGGGTTTTGGGGTTTTGGGGTTTTGGGGTTTTGGGG